TTCAGGGAGAGTATAAAAATGCAATGAAATACAGAGTGTTCCATTTGAAAAATCAAAGTTGCTACTGCTTTCTAATAAAAGCGGCAACACCGCATTGTCGAAAATATTTTAGTTGACTAGAGAATGTCCGAATATGCCCTCCATCGAATTTTCAAGATGATCCGTTGTCTGGTTCACCAGAAATGTCTAATGTGCCATCCACCGCGAATCAGCCTGTATTATGTGTGACCAAGAATATGTTGTACAGCATATGGATCTCGGAAACTATATAGAATATTATATGGTTCAGTGGAAATGAAGTTTTGCATACAGACGGTCATTCCAACAGCCTTCAAAAGTTCTCAATCATTATTTATAGTTTTTCAGATACTTATATCAAGAATCCCTTCTGTCTTTTTCTACAGGGCTGGGCAAAAGTATGAAACCAGGCGAATATCTCGGTAACGGTGTGTTAAATTTTTTTGAATATATGTACAGGGTGATTTCAAAACGTGGTGGATTCGAAAATGTAATCGTCTATGTTGTAACTTTTTCAGTTATTCCGGAATCATTATCACCTTCCTCATTTCAAATAGAACATCCTTTTTTTATTGAATCTTCAGATTCACCCTGAGAAGCTGATTTCATCGATTCATCACACTTTGAGGTCTAGCAAGGATGATTACTGAGATATAAGGTGTTCAAAATCGAGATTTTTCAACTTCAGGATTTTTTTGTGTCGAAATTATTCATTATCGGTCAAAACGGCTTCCATGTTCATATCTCAAGTTTTGATCTATTGGTATTCAATGGAAACAGTTACAGGGTGATCAGATTTCTGAATCTTGAACCACTCTGTATTTGTTTCAATTGAATGTCGGTAGATAGTGAATCAAAAGTTGACGTAGGGACATGTGAGCCGTTTTGACCAATAATAAATAGTTTCGACACAAAAACAATCCTGAAGTTGGAAAATCTCGACTTTGAACACCCTATATCCCAGTAATCATTCTTGCTAGACCTCAAGTATAATGAATCGAAGAAATCAGCTTTTCAGGGAGAATCTTTCAATTCAATAAAATACAGGGCGTTCTGGTTGAAATAAGGAAATTTATAATAAATCCGAAATAACTGAAAAACCCTAATAACACACTTATGTCCCATGGATATCCTTAGGACGTCCTCTCGGGACATTCAGGACATCCATAGGACGTTCGTATTAGGTACCGTGGACGTCCATTGGACGTCTGTGGGACGCACAAATGTCCCACTTGAGGACCAACTTGAGGGATGTCCCTGGGACAACTATCGAATACCTAAATCCTACAGTATTCCTCATCGAGCACTGCAGAGGACATCCTTAGGACATCCATAGGACAACCTATCAGCAACACTGAGGGATATCAATTGGATGTCCATAGGATGTCCCAGGGACGTACGAATTATTCTTGAATTTGAATTTTGCTGGATCCCTCTAGGACCAGATCTTGCATAACTGATTAGGACATCCAGTTGAGTTGATGGTCCGTAGAAGGTCCCCAAAAAGTTTCCCACGGACGTCCAATGGACTTACGTGAAGGACATTGACGAGGAGTACTTATAGCCTACGAGCAATCATTAGTCGGCGGGGTGTAAGTAAACGTCCTCGCAGGGACAACATATTGAAAGTACGGACTGGGACGTCCATAGGAGGTTATTTCTAGGACATTGGAAGAGTAAAGTTCATGTACCAATTGGGATATCCCTAAGGCACATTCGAAGGATGTCCCTAAGGGACATTTCGATTGTAATACGATCCTGGAAATATTAAGGGCGTCTCTGCAGAGATATTTGGAGGAATGTACCATCATGGACATTTCATGGTTGTCTAGAAGGGACATTATATAAGATCTGAAGTCATTCAAGAATATGTACTACTCGGGACATCCGATGGATGTCCCTAAAGGAACGTTTAAAATCCATGGACATTCTACAATATGTACCACGTGGGACGTCTAAGGGATGCTATTTCTACGCCATTTGAAATGATGTACCAGCTGACACATTCCGTGGACGTCCTTGCTCGGACATTGCATGATATGTACGGGATGGGACGTCCCAAGGACACTTATTTTTGGTTCGGGACATTCGGACGTGAATTGTACCAAATAGGGACGTCCCTAGGACGTTGTGTGCTATTAGGGAAGTGGCAACATCGACGATAACATTCTTGAATTCACCACGCTTTGAAATCACCCTGTACATATATTCAAAAAATCTAACAAACGGTTACCGAGATATTCACCTGGTGCCATACTTTTGCCCAACCCTGTATACAATATTAGGACACATTCTGAACTTTATCAGATTCTGTATTATTTTGAAATATATATGTGTGACCAAGAATATGTTGCACAGCAAGGTTATCTCGGAAACTGTAGAATATAGGAATACGGTTCAACGGAAATGAAGTTTCGCGTACAGAGGGTCATTCCAACAGCCTTCAAAAATGTTTCTCAGATAATTATATCGTGACTCTATTCTGTTTTTTATATCTACGTTATTATTCCAGAAACAGAAACAACTGACAATATCAGTATTATCATCATCTTTCGATAATTGATTGATATTGATTTCTCTATGTGACGTTTTGTATTCGTAGAACCATCATCAACTTATTTTCTTCAAATATTCGCGCTCATATTCCTTCCCCACGGATCCATATTCAATTACTATTATAATTTTATTGTATTGTTCACGTTCCCTTTTTCATCTGGAATCACCATTTTTCCTATTGATGAGGAATTCCTGTTATCCACAGGAAGAAAATACAATTATTCACAATACTGATTTCAAGAATATCAGAAGGAAGAGCATCAGAACGGCTACGTTTGCGAAATCTCTTGGATATCGTTCCTTTGGTTGTGATACACACGAGTTTATGAATCGGCAGCTCCAGTGCCGGATTAGCAAGAGTAGCAATTTTTATTTTCATCGCTTGGAGCGCACGAAAAGAAATCCCTCTCGAAATCCCTCCTATAATGTTCAAAGAACATCGTGCGTTCCTAGGGAGGATAGGGACAGGAGGTAGGTATTGGAATTTTTTCGAACTTCTGGAGATTATATGTTGTTGGGAATATTTCCTCAGGCAATGCATTCCAAAGCCTAGCCGTTCTATGGATGGAGGAGTTTTGATAAAGTGCTGTTCGACATCTTCCGAGGTTGACAACGAAAGGATCTGCTGACTGGGCTTGTCTAGTTCGTCTGACTGACATTGCTAGTGAGGGGATGATAGCAGAGATTTCCGAAGAACATTTCATGTGGAAGTATCGATAGAAAAGTGACAGGTCACCGACCTTTCTACGGTGTTCCAATGATGTCAACGAGTGAGTGAGTGAGTGTGGCGACACCCACCAGGCGAATGGCTCTTCTCTGGATGAAATCTGAGAGCATCAGAGTATGTTTTGGTGCTGAACCCCATATGTGGGAACAGTATTCTAGAACAGGCCGTATCTGCGCTCTGTAGATCATGAGAAGCTGTTGAGGTGTAAAGTAGCTCTTCGCACGGAACAAGAATCCGAGTTTTTGAGAAGCAGCTTTTGCGATGGATCTGACATGATTATCCTATGAAAGAGTGTTGCTGATGGTGGTGCCAGACATTACAATATCGGGCATACTGAGTTTCACCTCTCTATGGAAAATACAGGCTTGAGTTTTGGTGGCGTTGAATTCAACTATAGGTTGTTGGTTCCCCAGGCTGTGATTTCAGCAAGGTCTTCATTGACAGCATTGATCTGCCTGCGCCGTGAGTTCATAGTTTCCTGGGAAGAAATGGGAATTCTGGAAGAGAACGCAGTATGGAGGGTACTTTCATCTGCAAAGCTGTGGATGGGGCAAGTTGTTACTCCCTAAAGATCATTGATATAGAGAAGGAATAATGTTGGTGCCAAAATTGATCCTTGTGGAACGCCGGAATTGATGCCAGTGGTATCAGACGATACACCGTCCACCACCACGTGAAGCGATCTGCCTGAAAGAAAATTAGAAAATTCGATAAGAGATGGCATAGCTGAGGTGGTGAGCCGTATGATGGTAGTTTGTGGAGGAGTCCTTCGTGCCAAACACGGTCGAATGCTTTCGATATGTCCAACGCGACAGCTAGAGATTCCCTGTGTTTCTAATGATGTTTGCCATAAATGGGTGACGTAGGCAAGTAGATCTCCAGTAGATCTTCGGTGGCGAAAGCCGTATTGTCTATCATTGATGATTCCTGAGCTCTCCAGATATTTGATGAGCTCAATATTGATGGCTTTCTCCATCACTTTGGAGATTACTGATAAAAGGGCAATGGGCATGTAGTTGTTGGGCAGGTTCTTGTTCCCTTTTTTGGGAATTGGTTGGACTCTAGCTGTCTTCCAGCATGATGGAAAAAATACCCGACATGTACGAGACGGTAAACAACTTGCAGAGAATCGGTGTTAATTCTGGTGCACATTTTTTGAGAATAATGGGTGGAATTCCATCAGGACCGTTAGCCTTATTCGTTTTGAGACCAAGCAGAATTCGTCTGATAGTGCGTTGACGGAAGACGATTTCGGGCATTCGACTCTCAACGGGTAAAATGTCTGGCGGCACTTGCGATGGGCGCCGCGAATTGGGGAGCCCCGCGCCGTCCCGCGCTCTAACGCCTGTCGTCCGACCTGTTTAACTGATAAAGATGGAAATAGGAGAAATATCTTGCATGCCTTGAACGCGAGTAGCGAAGCGATTAGGCTATGCTTTAGATCTGACCGACTGTGAAGAATACCAGCAACAGACAACAAGACGAATTCAGCAGCTGTAGCCACACTCGACAACTTTGTTGAAAATCAAACACCTGGACAAAGTTTTGTTGGAGTTCAGGTGTTTATTGTATTTATTAATAACGTACTGTCTGCTTTAACTAAACGTATGGAAGCATATCATGAAATCACTATTGTGTTTTTGGAGTATTACGACAGCTAAAATCTCTAACAGAAGAGATTTTGGAAAATTCCCCAATAATGTTCAGTTCTTACAAAGGTAATTTGGAAATCTGCCTAGGCGACGAATTAGTGCAGTTCGCTGAGCTGCTGAAAACAAATGTAGTTATTGTCATTCACAGCAACAAACCTCTGGGGGAGCCTCTGGAACTGCAACCTAATGAACCTTGTTAAATATTTACTTAGAACCGTGTTCCCCAAACGTAGAAATTGCCTTGCAAATATACCACTTGTCTCTCATGATCACTAACTTTCTTTTTTGACATTAAAACGTATTTGAAATGAGTTGAAAAGAACACGATAAGCGAAAAACGTCTAAATCATCTCACTTCGATGGATATAGAGTATGATTTGCTTAAAGAAGTCAATATTGAGAGTGTTCTCTCTAAATTTGCCCATATTGAATTCAGGAAAGTTCATTTGTAATAGTTTTGTTTCATTTAATACCCTAAACCTGAGAACCTTAAACGATCCTAGGGCCCCTTGATATAATTTGCTACAGGCCCCGCGCTTGCTCAATCCGGCACTGGGCAGCTCATTCCTTCATACAAACTTCCCGAAGTATGCAAAGTACGGGGCGGGGCGGGTCAATTCATAAAGAAAGCGGGACGGGCCAATTCATAAGAGTGAGCACGGCGGGCCGTGCGGGCTACGTTACTCTATTATTTCCCAATTATTTAATTGGACATTGATATCAATTTGTTGATTCCTAAAAACTTCACTGCTTATTCAAACTTCAAACACAGGATATCATCGCATTGATATTGCATGAAAATTCAAGGTGGGATTTCTTTTCTTGGGTCAAAATATGTTTGATGTTTCGTTTCACAAACCTAGAACCAAGGTGAACAGGCCACGCGAGAAGACCAGGAAAGTTCAATGGAACGCGCAGGCTGAAAGAGTCGCGTGGGCTGAGCAGGCCGAGTGAGCTGCGCGGGCTGAAAGGCTAAGCGGTCCGAGAGGGCCACGCAGGCTAACTGTGCCACGCCGGCTGCGCAGGCCTAGTGGGTTACGCGCAAGGTCTATTTACTTCAATAAGGTTACCTCATAGTATAGCATTAGGGTGCGGGGGTGCGCGGAGAGGGAAAACGATCTGTGACGTCACTGTTTTCCCACCGTGTGTTGTAGATTTCGTATTTTGTCACTGTCAAATGGTTTGAAAAAAATTTTGAATTTGAATTCGAAAGATTAGCGAATTTCAGACTTCAGTTGAAACCGTGGTGACAAGAAGACTGAAGATACCTTTGAAAGAGGGTGAGAGGCTGTATTTTTTTTTCAATTTTTTTTTTATGGTGTATTATCCAAAGCTGTGTGGAGTCAAGAGTGGATATAAATCAAACAGATGTTATAAAAAGCCTGTGTTTACAATCATCTGCTCTTGGGCAGCCTCCACATGAGATTCAAATAATTCCAAAGGAAGATGATGAGCTGTGGAAATGTGAATGTTCCTGTGAAGCAGGCATGCCATGGTTTTGTAAACACATTTTATCAGGTTTAATATTGACAGGTAGGCAGGTGCACTTTTGATCTATCACACACAGGTTTGAGAAATGAAGACTTGGAATATGTGGAGCTGCATATAAAACACAGCAAATATAGCAAAACCATTTCAATAGTTCTGCTATCCACTTATTAAAAGAAGAAAAGTGACCCCCTAATGAACAGTACCTACCTACATGCAGGGTCAAGTAGTAAGGATGGAAATCAATGGGAAAATCATTCTCCTTTTATATATTTCAAGTTAATTTCACAGGTATATCAGTCTCTTTCGTTTTTTGTTTTGAAGCCAATTAACTCAATGTGAATAACTATTGCATGCATGGTACTCAGGAACACTGGAGAGTTTATTAAATTTCAAAATACCATCATGAAAACTGTACACTTACATTAATTTTGAATTATTTCAGCCTATATACTTGCTACTTCATTTTTACATGTAGCAAGGAGTCTTGGGAAATAAGGCAATCAACTTATTCTTTCCAAAGGATTTTACAAATGGATTTGTTCAGCATGGAGTTGAATATGAATCAAAAGCTCTTTTAAAATGTTCATTGAAAATAATATTAGATTCCAAATCATGCAAACAAATTTGTGTCCCAATATTTTTCGTGGTTAGGATTTTCACTATATTAAATTATTTTTCAGAAAGGAAAACCATGGAAATAATTGAAATAGTGTCCTTACTGAGGTCCTTACATAGAGGTTTGTTGAATGATGTGTATAACATTCAGCCTGAATTATTTTCTCAAATTTTCAGGTAAAGAAAATAGTTCAGAACATTTTGTGGAACAATGCCATTTCTCGATAGGAGATGGTATAAAAAATGTGAAATTGGAAGAGAGACACACTTATTATGGATAAATTTAGTTGGGAATAATGACCCTAAAATGTCCCTAATGAACTTGAAAGAAACTAATTTTCTTGTATGATTCTTCTTTCTCCAAAACTTACATACAAATTTCTGTTAATTTTATGAAACATTTTGTGTTAACCTCATAAGGAAGATATCTCAAAGATATTTTCATTATGTTACACTTTTATTGCATTAATCAAATGGAATGAATTGCGTGATAATGACTTCTTTATTGATTCATTTTCTAATTATTTCATTCTCAAATAATAATATTTTCCAAATTGATACTGAAATAAAACCATTGAGTTAGAATCATTCAAAATATCCAGTAAGAAATCCTCTTTAGTTAATTGTTGTGTTATTTCTTTCTCAGAAATGATGGCATTATCAATTTCAAGAATTTTTCTTCACATCCCTTGTCAGCATGCCCTTATCCACCATGATTTCATCATTAGGTTCAGATTTCCAAATAACATTTTATTCATTAAAAAATGCTTTAGCAGTAGCTCAACCTCCATATCCATAAATGCCAACAGTAATCAGTCCTGATGGAGTGATATTGCAATAAGAATTTGACTGTGATGTTTTTTGTAATGTGTCTGTACAACAGGAGCACTGAGGAACATAACATATCTTTCTAGATTTTTGTTTTCAGTCTTTTGTACTTGCTGCATGTTTTGAGAAAACAGTGAACTATCTCGTGAATACAAAAACATATCGGAAAACTTCAACATTTATCAAAATTCACTGGATTGCACAATGCTAAATTTGTTTGTTTTGTTTATCACTTCCGCCATTTTCATTTTGCCGCTCGACAAAAGACGCCTGGGGAAACAGTGACGTCAGGCCAGAAGAATATGAGGCAACCTTATAAAGTTGAATAGCCTTGGGTTACGCGGGCCTCTGAGTAAACATCAGAGTCATGCCGTGTTGCTAACTGCGCGGGCCTACGTAACATTTCATACCGTGCGGGTTGCTGCGGGTCGGGTTCCATTTTATAAACGTGCAAGCTAGGGCAAGCCTCGAAGATCTTGTAGAAATCTTCTCCATGAGTTTTTATTCAATAGTACTTATGCCCTGTTGGTTACTAGCAGCAACCAACCCCAGTTGTTGGGGGCTTGCGTGGTCGACCCAGAACTCACAATTAACTAGTCGATTTGTATTTACAATTAATATTCAAAATCTTCATGGAGAGCCCCGACAAAATCGAAAATCTGGAATTTGATGAAATTAAGAACAGAATATTTTGCTTCTCACAACATCGGTTATAAGTATGGAGAAACTAAAAAATATAGTTATGGCTAATATAGTGTAACTGAAAATTTGATTCCTTCATGCATGCATTTCTTGAGGCTACAATGGGATGAGCTGATGAAGTCACACCCATTGTCGTTGTAGAAGACAACCTAGTTAGGTTGTTAGTTGTCGAGAGCTATACCTCCTCCCACTAGGTCGCCTACTAAGGTCTTCATTTAGATCGGAAAATGGTGTAACTGAAATGTATTATTTATCGTTTGATTTTAATAAACTTGAAAAATTTCTGTAAATAGATGGTGTGTAGAATTTGTATCGTGAAAATTGATAAAACATTAACAATGAGTGATTATTTTCAAAGGAAATATATTTTTCTGCAGTGAATTTTGTTGATTTCCCACCACAAACAAACAAACAGTGAGAAAGTAAAAGTATAGGTATATTTTCAAATACAAGGTGATTCATCAAAAATGTGCAAACTCTCAACCACAACACCATACAATTATTATAAGATTTAGCCTGACATGTCTCATAAAAATGTTGCTAGTTTTGGAGATACTGTTTGTTCAAGGTGAAAATCTAATTATGAAATTTCTAAATAACTTTTTGAGTTTCAACATCATAAAGATTACATCACCCCAAATGATTATTTTATTAAAAAATGTTTTGTCGCGAACGAGGACAGTGGAATTGCCGAGAAATATAACAAACTCAATAAATTAGAACAGTGAAATAATAATAATAGTTGATAATAGTAGATTGTTTTATTAGGATCAAAAGTGACACTTTGTTTGACAAGCGAATTTTGCATTTGCGAGGCGGAGCGCTTAGCGAAGCCGAGCGAAAGCAAAATTTGCGAGTCGAACAGAGTCACTTTTGATCCGAATGAAACATGCTATTTTTTCTGCAACCGAAACAATGAACTCAAATAAATATGTGAAGTAACCACCAATGCCGTGCCATATCTATGCAATGCAACAAATATTGACAAATAATCCATGTGGTCATGTGGTGAGAATATTCTACCTGCATTAACAGCAGGTTTATTCAATTTTCAAGGATGTTCGAATTGTAGTTTCAATATAAATACACCCACAGAGTGACATATTTGTGTATGGACCAGGTGCTCTAATGGCAAATACCGCCCCAGAGTGGACGTGGAAAATGTTAGGTTAGTGAGCATTACAACAATAATAATAGCGATTATTTATTCCTCCCCATACTACAGTTACTACACTGTGTTTGACTTGATAATCAAGTGAAGCTAAACAAAATTGTTGTTTGAGACAAAAAACTATTGCTCACCGTGATTTTTCAAAAACAAGTTATCCAGAGAATAACGAATGAAATACAGATCAAGCAAGTATTTGAATCTTGAAGGCTTCCCTGAAATCCCTGATCAGAACAAAAATACTCAACTGAGATGTTTATAA